AAACCCACTGCTGCACAAATAGAAAATTCTAACTTCACCTAGAAAGATCCCAGACCGGGATCCAAACCTGCAACCTGCTTTAACTACTGCACCACCACCACTATTGTTAAACTGGAGCTGAAAACCTCATATTTTCTCTAAACTTCACCTCAAATATTTCCTGAGACTAATTCAGTTCAACATGAAACGGTTTCAGTATTAATCTACCTCAGAGGTTGAAGTAATGAAAAACGTCTTGCTGACCTGACAGGTATTCTCCTGATCTGTCAAAATTAACTCCATCTGTGGAGATATTAAACCGTATCCATCCTGTCTCCAACAGCAGAGGAGAGGTGCAGCATGCATGACCCTCTTCATCTATAAACCCCTTCAGCTCAAGTTCATCTTTGAACCTGCAACAGAGAAACAAACCTGACTTAGTTTATTACTTCTGTTTACAGGTTTGTTTGCTCTTATCAGTGTAATAATTTGTGCTTTAATACACAGAATAATCCAAATGTTGCCTGCAATTGAGCTACTCAGCCTTATTTAAAAAAAACAAAGATTTAAACTTGTATAATAAAAGGAACTGAAAATCAAGTGTAAATAATGTTTATATTAAAATATATTGTGAACATATGTCATGTTGAACATATTTCAGCTAAAAATGTAATTATATTACTCAGAAACTACCTGCATTTTTCRTCAGTGCATGATTTATGACTCCAAAAAACTAAATCTGATGTTTCGCAAAAACAAACTAGAAACAAAAATTAATTCGTGGTGTTTTATAGGGCAGTAAGTAACATGGTTCAAATGAAAACACGAGTGAGGAATTGATCACAAACCTGCAGAGAAGCTGCCCGTCGGAGGGAAGKTCCAAGTCCAGGATCCTGAGCGCTCTTCCACCCAACATGGAGCTGGAGTGAGGCGACACCTGGAAGCAGGACTGGTTGTAATCCCTGCAGCAGTTCAGCAAGGACACACAGGTTGGACGGCAGGAGCACTGCTCTAATACACGTCCACACATTCCTCTGCATGTTTGACCTGTTGAAAAACAGAGCTTCATTATGATTTTTTTATTAAAGGTGAAATAAATTGTATAAACATGAAACACCAGCCTGCATCCTTTTCTTSTTATTGCAAGTATTTTAAAAAAGCATAAAGCAACAATATTATAGGACTATACTGAACTATTTACTGTTTTACAGTAAAATATTTTAATTGCACATATTTTTAAAAGAAATATATATA